CCCAGCAGTAGGAGGCTGTACCCGAGGCTGGAGTGCAGTTCTGGATAATTTTTTGTATTTTTAGTAGAGACAGTGTTTCACCGTGTTAGCCAGGATGGTCTCGATCTCCTGACCTCGTGATCTGCCTGCCTCGGCCTCCCAAAGTGCTGGGATTATAGGCATGAGCCACCACGCCCGGCCAGCTCTTGATTTTTTTTTTTGCCAGTTATACATTTATAGAAAGATAATCCCCTGGCTTTAAATAGGTATATACATACAAATATGAACAAACTTAAAAAAAAATACAAACCCTTGGATCACATGGGGGCTTCTGGGAACCCCCGTATCCTTCCCCCTCACCCAAGGGCAGTGGGCATGAATCTACTTTTTAAAAATGATTGGGCAACGCGAAGAGAGGAGCGGCAACATGGCGGCTTCGGGAGCTGGTGACCCTCTGGATGCTAAGCGTGGAGAGGCCCCTTTCGCTCAGCGTATCGACCTGATGCGGGAGAAGCTGACACCGGAGCAACTGTATTCCATGTGGCGGGCGCAGCTTGCCCAGTGGCAGAAGGTCCTACCGCAGTGGCGGACCCGGAACATCATGACCCGCCTAGGCATCGGGGCCCTGGTGTTAGCTATTTATGGTTACACCTTCTACTCGATTTCCCAGGAGCGTTTCCTAGATGAGCTAGAAGACGAGGCCAAAGCTGCCCGAGCCCGAGCTCTGGCAAGGGCATCAGGATCCTAATCTGGATGGGTATTGATCATGTCCAACCTGCTGGAGCCCCTTCACATGGTGGATGATGCCCCATGACCCTATAGAAATTGAATCCTGTTCACAACATTGTTGGCCTTCTTACTAACCTTGGGCCATGATTGATCCCAAGAAACCAGGGACTTAAGCATTTGGCTACTGTCAAAAGAACAGAACTTTGCCCACTGCACACTTGCTGTGTACAATGACTGAGCCCTTTCTTGTAGTTTGTTTCCTTGAGAGATGTGCGTGCGACTGTGGCTTTTCCCAATGTTTCTGACTTTGTGGTTTACCCCCTTCACCTTCCAGGGATGCGATTGTTATGAGGTTAGGCATGGCAGCTCTGTACAGGGTTTGAGCCTAAAGTGGTATAGATAGGGTCAAATTGAGATAATAAACTGAGTCATTCTCCTGGAAAAAAAAAAAAAAGATTAATTTTGGCCATCCTTGCAGAAAAGAGCCTAAAATTGGGTGATTTACCCACAAAGTGAAAGTCGAGGGAAAATTCCGTTTCCATTCTCTGAACTCTGAACTCATACCGCATAGGTAACCTCCTATCATTAGGGCTGCATGCTTTCTTGTTCTGTCTTTTAAATATTGTATCAGGGTAAAGGAGAGGGTTCCCTCCTGAGATGGGTCAAGAAAGAAGATAGACTTGTGGCTTTAAAAGGGTGGGAAAAAGTCTCATCTGCCCTTAAAAGCAAATGGCAAGACAAAGGCATAGAGACCCCAGGGAAATACCCAGTTCCCACACCTAAAGGGATATACTGTCCAGCCCACGTCCAGGCCCTGGGTTCTTTACTCTAGCTACACCCTATTTCTTCGGTATTTTCAAAAGACAAGATTCAGGTCCGGCGCGGTGGCTCATGCCTGTAATCCAGCACTTTGGGAGGCCAGGACGGGTGGATCGCCTGAGCTCAGGAGTTCGAGACCAGCCTGGGCAACATGGTGAAATGCCGTCTCTACGAAAAATCCAAAAAAGAATTCGTTGAGCCAGGTGTGGTGGTGCGTGCCTGTAATCCCAGCTACTCAGGAGGCCGAGATGGGAGAATTGCTTGAACCCAGGAGACAGAGGTTGCAGTAAACCAAGATCACACCACTGCACCCCAGCTGGGCAACACAGCGAGACTCTGTCTCAAAAAAAAAAAAAAAAAAAGATTCAGTTCCTAGGTGTTGGGGGAGGAGGGAGAAATCAAACTCCATCCTGCGCTGTACACAGTCCTTTCCACTCCCTGACATTGTTTTGAGGAAAGAGAAGGGGCCTTCAACGTTGGAAGGGCCTCCTCCCTTTCGTCCGCCGCTTCGGTTTCGTTTCTCCCTTGGGTACTGTGCGGTTGGGCTTAGAGGCTGCAGTGGCTCCGGGGGCAGGCTGAGGAGCTGCAAAGAAGTTCCCACTGGGCGTCTGCCCTGGGTGTACTTGAAAGATCTGACTCAAGAAATCCTGAAGATCAGCAGGAGGGGCGTCCGGGGTGGCTCTCTGCCGCCCTCTGGTGCCTGGAATCCGAGAACCAAATGAGAGATGTGAGGAGACTCTGTGGGTCTGGGGAGATATCTAGGACGCTGGCCTCTAGCCCACTGTGTGTTGTCATACACCTTTCCATCCATCAGTGCAAAGTAGGTGATCTTGAGGCCCAACAAGCTTGACACTGCCCAAAAGTCCCCTTCCTCAGCGGGACGCAGCCTATCACACGCAGCATAGTATCTGGCACTCTTAGGTTCCTGGTCCACCTCAAACCTCCTATGCTTCCCTTGGCATCGGCCACACATCAGAGTATTCACTGCCTCCTTGAGGTCATCTTGCAGCTTGGACAGAAACTCATTTACTGACCGGCTCAGCTCATTCTCTGCCATTCCTTTCATCTCATATTCCTTCTGCTTTTCGGCATTGCTGACAATGTCCCAAACTGCGCGAAAAACCTTGAAGGCCTCCTCAGCCCGGGGGTGATGAGTTTTGTCGGGATGAACCATCACTGCCAGCTGTCTATAGGCCTTCTTCAGTTCAGTGTCTGATGCTGTGGCCTCAATGCCTAGTACATGGAAAGGGTTTAACTCATCCTCAGGAACCCCAGCCAAGGTCAAGAGTCGAACCACTTCCTCTTCAGGCTGGCAGTAGCGCCCAGTAGCTACAGGTGCATTCCCCTGCCTGTTAGTATTCTGCTTGACCCAAGGCAACTCCAGCCAACCCCACTGAATTATTTATTTATTTATTTATTTTTATTTTTTGAGACGGAATCTGGCTCTGTTGCCCAGGCTGGAGTGCAGTGGCGCGATCTCGGCTCACTGCAAGCTCCGCCTCCCGGATTCACTCCATTCTCCTGCCTCAGCCTCCGGAGTACCTGGGACTACAGGCGCCCACCATCACGCCCAGCTAATTTTTGTATTTTTAGTAGAGATGGGGTTCCACCGTGTTAGCCAGGATGGTCTCGATCTCCTGACCTCATGATCCACCCGCCTTGGCCTCCCAAAGTGCTGGGATTACAGACGTGAGCCACCGCACCGGACCCCCACTGAATTATTCTTACCAGCCACTGCCATGACCCGCTTTCTCGCAGCAGAGTCAAGCAACGCTGCGAGGCTGGAGAATCCAGCCAAGAGAAGAGCCAGGTGACCTTATCCCTCCAGCCTAACCGGTCACCTAGTCCCTCCAGAAACCACCATCCCAACTGTAGAAAGCCCAAAAAGAGGGCCAGAGCCAGGGGCAGTAAAGCACCCAGCAGCTTAAGAAAACGGGTAAACAATCCTACTCCACAGTAAAACCCCTGGCTTAGAAACTGAAACGTGGCGGGGCGCGGTGGCTCAAGCCTGTAATCCCAGCACTTTGGGAGGCCGAGACGGGCGGATCACGAGGTCAGGAGATCGAGACCATCCTGGCTAACACGGTGAAACCCCGTCTCTACTAAAAAATACAAAAAACTAGCCGGGCGAGGTGGCGGGCGCCTGTAGTCCCAGCTACTCGGGAGGCTGAGGCAGGAGAATGGCGTAAACCCGGGAGGCGGAGCTTGCAGTGAGCTGAGATCCGGCCACTGCACTCCAGCCTGGGCGACAGAGCGAGACTCCATCTCAAAAAAAAAAAAAAAGAAAAGAAAACGGGTAAACGGGCAAACAATCCTACTCCACAGTAAAACCCCTGGCTTAGAAACTGAAACATGACCTGGGCCCAGCCCCCAGCTGCCCTGTCCAGACTCCCATCCAAACTTGAAAAAGGTCCAAATCACTGCTTTTCAGCTGCCTGCATGCATAGATGGTGTGCCCACAAGTTTCTACATACTCTCCCACCAACACCAGCAGTTCAATCAGCCACGAAAAGCCTGCCTGTCCAAGTTGACATAGTTCCTCAGCTCCCCACAATCCCAGGCCTCTGCGCTTATCTGCCTGACTTCATTTCTGGCCCAGTCAATGTTGACCAGGGGACCTGGGATCCCTACGTCCACCCTCCCGAGTATCCGCCTTCGTTGGAAAGTGGTGCCACTGTCTCCGGAATAGGGCTTTCTTTCCGCTGGACACACGTGAAAAATCACTGGGGAACTTAAGAGATTCTTCATCATCATATTCCTCTTCCAACTCTTCATCTTCCCCCAAGGCTGGAGAGGCATAGAGGTGGCAAGAGTTGCTAGAAGAGGCCGGGCGCGGTGGCTCAAGCCTGTAATCCCAGCACTTTGGGAGGCCGAGACGGGCGGATCACGAGGTCAGGAGATCGAGACACATGGTAAAACCGTCCTCTACTAAAAAATACAAAAGAAAACTAGGCCGGCGGTGGTGGCGGGCGGCCTGTAGTCCCAGCCTCCGGGAGGCTGAG